AATGCTATTAATTAATGTATACATCTACAAATACGAATATACGAGATTTTAAAAATTGCACGGCAGGTGTATACAAAAGCGGGTACATATCTTGACGTATAACTAAACATGTTGAAATCAAAGCAAGATAGTACTTGTACTTGGTAGTCTTTTATATGGAAGATGCATGGTAGTCCATACTCCGATTGCCAAATTGGTGGCAAACAAGTAGCAAGGGCATATGCATATGCATGGGACCAACCATATTTGTCTAAGTTCATGACTTGTGACAAAAGAAGATTCTCCTAATTGCTAGGGAAACAAAGAAGAATCCCTTCAAAGATAAAGTATCCAACCAAAATACCACTACTATTGGGATTGTTGTCGATTTAGCTGAGTTATTTTAGAAAAATCCAGGATTTTCATGCTAATTGCTGCCGTGCTGGCTAATGCGTGGCTACTAGCTAGTTTAAGTGTCGCTTTTACTAGAGTATGTGATTTTCTTTTGGCTTCTTTATTAATTATCATGCTTAAATTTATTGGCTAGCCAATGAGGATTGAGCAATTGGTCAAATTATATTACTCGTATGAATGTTCTACTAATTGCCATTGTATATTACACTTGGATGGTTTAGCTGATTAATTATATGTAACTTTTGTCAAAAGAGGTGCACGATGAATGAAGTATTCATTACAAATTTACTCTAGCATATCTAAGCCTATTTAATTTACCTTTAACTCAATAAGCTTTGTATAAATTTAGTTAGAGCCTGTTTTCATCAGATTAATTTCAGTTTAGTTCAGCTCTAACAAGGGCCTGTTCATATTTACTTAATTTCAGTTCAGTTCAGTTTACTTCAGTTCAGCTCCAATTGAACATCAGTTCAATTCAGTTCAACTCCTAATTTCCTTTTCTCATAAAATATTCATTTCAGCTCATTTCAGTTCAGTTCAGTAAATGTGAACAGACCTTAAGTTCAGTTCATTTTAATTCAGCTCAGTTCAGTTAACGAGAACAAACCCTTACTCTATAATTGTTTGTTGTTAATTTATTATACTAGTACTACGATATGTCTATATGTAGTTCCTCTAGAATTGGAAGAATGAATGACACTTTGTCACTAATCCCCCCTCCCCTAATTACGGCTTCCTACTTTAAGCTACCCCTCCAAATGAAATCTCTCTCTTTTTTTCTCCACCAAAAAAAATAAAAATTTGAAATAAATCCTAGTAAAAGAAACACGTGAACTGCACGTGTCACTGTCAGTGGAAACCCTCTCGATGCCACGTACTCCTACTAGTCTACTACCAACAACACACGTAATCAACTAAGCCGCCAACAGTAACCAAAAAAATAAATAAAAAATAAAAACTAATAATCCTCAGCAATTGCTCATAAATTGAAGGTGGGACATTGATCAAATACGATTAAATTCACAACCCCACTCAATAAATCAGATTAATCAACAGTAGGGTGCCACGTAAGACGTGATATATATGATCGTTGATAGAGTCCATGTATGTCGACTGTTGTCGTTTATGTTAGATTGTGATTTGTGAGGGTGCATGCATATTCCTCCTTTATTTTGGTCTATTTATTCTAATTAGAATGGTTTTCAGTCAAATCAATTGCAACTTGCTTAACCAAAAACAGGGAGTACTATTCTTTAAACACTTGGATCTTTTATTTAAGGTTGGTAGCATTGCAAGAGTTAGAACCATTCTAGTCTTTGAGGGTGGACTTTTACGTTTTTCTCTTTCTAATCATGTATCAAATCAAATATATGTGATTTTGTTACGAGTGTAAATATCTACCTTTAAAAGATGCTTTCAGCGTTGACTTAGAGTAATACCCAGTTAATTTCTCAGATAAACTTTTGTTTATCTAGGGGTATAACTGTATTAAGTACTAGTGGAGGAGTATATGCGTCTTTTCATGTATTAGTTGAGGGGTAGATGTGTAATTTCCTCACCAACAGTAAAAGCAAACAGTAACTGGACAACTCACCAAAAGTACTGAATAAATGACCCTGTTTTTTCAATATATTTACAAAAATTCCGTCAGATTAACAAAAATTCGTTTATCTGGCACATTAACTTGTATTTTCCCCTTGATTTATACTTTTAAATAGTTTATATTATTAATAATAGTCAAAAGCGAGCTACTATATATATATATATATTTTTTTTTTGCTTATTGAAAACTACTCTTGTTAGACAAAGATATTAATACAACATGTAATTGGTATTATTTCATTGTCATTAATCAACCATTTTATTAAATCTAATAATTATTGTGTTAATTGATGAGGTTTTTATGTTACTCCGTACAATTTTGGGATGACACTTTAGTGCTCTTTGGGGGAGTGAGTATGCCAGACCCTTTCAATCTCCCTTAAAGGATTCGTCTACTTAATTAGCTCGTCCAAATCAAATTGATCCGTACAAGGTGTTGTTAATAATTTAATGAACTTCTTTACATTTATATATTTAACTATTACAGTAGTGATTACTTAATATTTTTAATAATGATTAATTACTATGAAGTAATTGATAAATATCCGAATATACTGTACTAATGAGAGTAATACTTGGACAAAAACACACATTTATTAGCCCATCCACCTATCTATCAATACTCTTACTATTATTAAACCCCAAACAAATAAATTTCATCTCACCACGTGTCATCCTCCCTAATTTAACAAATGTTCAATTTAAATGTGTATCAAGACTTAAACCCACAACCTCTAAAGCTGATCATTAACGATTTAAACCGCGTGCCAACAAGCCACGATAAACAAAAGCTTAAAATAATCAAGGTGGTGTATGTAAAAGGGACCTCTAAAAACAAGGGAATGAAAAGAAAAGTGCTTGGTGCAATGGTGCTTAGACCAACAGGCAAATTGCGTGGCGTAGCAGAGTAAGAAGTCCGTACTAGTAACATTAATAGCGTGCAAGCAACAAGGAAGCCGCGTGCATGTAATGAGTTGGACAATTAGTATGCAGTCCGCACACGCCTTTGCTACAATTGCCACTGCCTCACTCTCTTCTCTTCCTCTTTTAACGTTTTTAACATGTCTTCATAAGTTGTTGATGCTATTTGCCTAATTGCTAATACCAAAAACTAAATGCCAAAACTATTGTCACAACAATACAACTGATTTTGCTTCAAGAGTTTATGTTTCTCACTTCTATTTGACGATTCCGTTTTCTATGTTTCTTTTTTTATTCAATCTAACTTCTACGCATACCTTTGACAAATTTGTATGGTTATTGTCTTATTGAGCAAAGGTTATTGTCTAAGTGAACACGTGGAGAATTTGCGTAAAGTGTAATGGGGACTTTGCGATGTTAGTTTATATACACTCGGGTGTATCGTGATCGTGATCGTGAAGACAATCCTCATATACTTTATCTAAATAATTTCACAGCTCTTATAATACAAAGATTCACTAATCAAGAGTAAAATATAAATTTACTATATAAATTGTTTTTAACTTTTTTTTGTTAAAACTAAAATATTTGTGTACACCTATGTTGACAATTTGCTCATATGTAGAGTTGATGATGAAATGAGGCACTCAGGCAGGTATGTCCAATTGTCGTCCAAAGAAATCAAACATACTTGAATACAAATTTGTAACTCATGAAGAACTAGTCGCAATAAAAACTCACAAATAACATGTACAAGCTCCCCAAGACCCCAACTAGTACGAATATGAATTGTTCTCTACAAATAATAATATTTTCCTGTAGACTACTCCATATTATAATAGTAGCACACTAGCACATTCAATTTAAGACTTCTAATACAATCTTATTTAAGACTTCTAATACAATCTTATTTGGGACGGAGGGAGTAATATGTACAACTATAACACACGTTCTCAGGTCAAAGTCACAATAAAACAAAAAACGAAAACTATCAATAAAGTCAACAATTTATGAGAAATCACGTGTAATTTAAATTAATATTTCTTTATCCTTAAGAGCACTAATTTTTCATTTAAAGAGCTCGTCAAAAAAAAAAAAATCATTTAAAGAGCTATATTTATCATTTTCCTTAATTCATATTTCGTAATTTGTATTGATTTGCATTAAACGTTGCATCGAATTACTCCACAACGACCACAAGTACTGATTTCTACTTCTATGCCTAAACTTTTTCCCAACATGATAGCATGCTCTGGCATGATGATGATGTTTCGCTAAAATATCAGTCCAACTTGCAAAATCGCATAATGAGTTTATGATATTGGACTGGATTTGGTATGGGTGTTTATTATTCAGACTTCATAAATCAACATATGGGCCTGAGAGTTGTTTATCGGTAACATCCAACTAGTAGACCTTATAAAATGTACACACTGGGCTTTCTCTAAACTGCCCTGTAAATTCACAAAGAGTTTATTATATGGCCCATTGATATATTGACTTATAGTTATGCCTAACAAAATCAGTTTTGCTATCACAAAGATAAGTTTTAGCACACATACAATGACACAAATTTCTCAATAGGTATTGATAATTTGATATGGTGAAAATAAGTTATGATATGATTAATGTTTCACATAAGTTTCAATTACATGAATTTAGACCAATTTAGGCTAACAAAACAGAACCTTATAGTAGCCTGCAATTTTTAAAGGGAAGAGTGAACACTTTGCAATTTTGCTCAACCTTACATTTAATGTATTGGGTATTATATACATTATGCTTTACCATTATAAGAAATTTAATTACTTTACAATTTCCTTCCCTAAAGAGTTTATGAAAGAGATACCCGTTAATTATTGAGATAGCCGCATTAATTATTTTGCTATTAATGATCCTAAGAAATTTACGTCATAATTAAATTCCTTTAAGTGGAATAATCTTAGAAAATTATGCTATAATTGTCTATGTCTAACAAAGTTTGCTACTTATAGACTACCAATAAAAAAAATCATCGGTTATTCTTTTAAGGATTATATAATATGATTAATATGAATTAAGAATAATAGATCGTTTGTAATTTAAACAAAATATAATTAAGTTATAATCGAAGTATAGATTGCGCTTTAAAAAATAAAACACACCTAGGTTATAACATGACACCTCATAAATCGCAAAACCCAGCTCAAAGACGATATCCATCGGCCAAGTAAAACAGCAAGAACCCTATATAAATTCACAAAAATTATCAATTTGCACCGCAATCATGCTATTTTCGTAATTAAAAACACTTAAAAACCCAATATTCTCTTCTCCTTCAAACCTCCTCTACCTTCACTCTCACCAATGGAACGCTAATAAATACCCAACAAGAACACAACTTTCTCTCTCCTCTTTCTCTCAAAATTACCCCCAACAAACCCATTTAATTTCCTCAAATTTCCCAACATTTATAAACCCTAATCAGGTTAGTTTCGTACTTCACCAGATCCCTTTCTCACCCCTCAATTTCACACTAAAAAGTTGAAATTTTGTTAATGTTTTATTAATACAGTTTGAATTCATGATAAAACTCGGAACTTAGGGTTTAAGATTGATTATTTTTTGTAGGGTTTTTGTGATGAATTTGTTGATTAATCCAGAAATGGATGACCTAGAAAAAGCGATTTTGATTACTTTTGATGAATCTGGGACTATTGATTCTGTGTTAAAGTCTCAAGCAATTGAGTATTGTCAACGAATTAAGGAAAACCAGACAATTTCTTGCATTTGTGCTCAACATTTGTTTACCAGTAAATTTGCGCAAGTTCAGTTCTGGTGCTTGCAATGCTTGCACGATGGCGTTCGAGTTCGTTACTCGTCGTCGATGAGTGTCGAAGAGAAGGAATTTATCCGTAAATTGGTGTTCGCAATGGCTACTTATGACGGTTTTGATGATAATAGTAAGAATTTAGTTAAGGTTTTAGATAGTCCTGCTTTTATTAAGAATAAACTTGCACAAGTTTTGGTTAATTTGATTTATTATGAGTACCCTTTAATTTGGCCTACTGTTTTTGAGGATTTTATTAATCGTTTGCCTAAAGGGACAGTAGTTATTGATATGTTCTGTAGATTGTTGATTGCATTAGATGATGAATTGATTAGTTTGGACTATCCCCGCAATGCCGATGAAGTGGCGGTTGCGGGCCGAGTTAAGGATAAAATGAGGGAACAATGTGTTCCTCAGATTGTGAGAGTTTGGTATCAAATTATTATGACGTATAAGAATTCGGATTCTGAGCTTTGTGCTAGTGTATTGGATTCGATGAGGAGGTATATTTCATGGATTGATATAGGTTTGATTGCTAATCAAATGTTTATTCCGTTGTTGTTTGAGTTAATCTTGGTTGACGGGTTTCCTGAGCAACTTAGGAGTGCTGCCGCGGGTTGTGTGTTGGCTGTGGTGATGAAAAGGATGGATTCACAAGCGAAGCTTAATCTGTTAAAGAGTTTGCAGATTAATCGTGTATTTGGTTTGATAAATGAGGAGACTGATGTTGAGTTGTTGTCTAGCATTGCCACTTTGCTTACTGGTTATGCAGCTGAGGTTTTGGAATGTGCAAAGAGATTGAACTCTGAGGAAGGAAAGAGAGTTTCGTCTGAGCTTTTGGAAGAGGTATTGCCGTCTGTATTTTATGTAATGCGAAGGTCTGAGGTGGATGCAACATTCAATACAGTGCAGTTTCTTTCTGGTTATGTAGCTACAATGAAGAATCTGTCTCCACTAACTGAAAAGCAGATGGTTCATGTGAGTCAGATTTTAGAAGTGATTAGGGCACAGATTTGCTATGATCCCATTTACCGTCATCACCTTGATGTGTTGGATAAAATCGGGATGGAAGAAGAGGACAGGATGCTTGAATATAGGAAGGATTTACTGGTTCTGCTCCGTAGTGTGGGGCGTGTAGCTCCTGAAGTTACTTATTCATTTATCCAAAATTCACTTGGTAAAGCTGTTGATCCTACTTCTGAGAGAAATGTCGAGGAGGTAGAAGCTGCACTTTCGCTTCTGTATGCGCTTGGGGAGTCTCTGAGTGATGAGGCAGTGAAACCAGGGAGTGGGCTTTTAGGAGTAGTGCTCACGCTTTTATCAACAAGGTTCCCATGCCATTCTAATAGGCTGGTTGCTCTTACTTACTTGGAGACTATTACGAGGTACATGAAGTATGTTCAGGAGAAAGAAAAATCTATACCCGAGGCCCTGGAAGCTTTTCTTGATGAAAGAGGTATACGTCACCCCAATATTATTGTGAGCCGGAGAGCAAGCTATCTCTTCATGAGGATTGTGAAATTGCTGAAATCAAAGCTAGCTCCTTTTATTGAGACAATTTTACAGGTGACTTTGCCTTCTAATGAAATGAGTTTATCATGTGGATAGGATCTGTTATTTTTCCTTTGTTTGCCTAATTTTCTCTCTGAATTTACCCACAGAAATTGCATGATGTCGTTGTTCGATTTACAAGCATAAGTTTCTTAGATAAGGTGATGATTGAAGCTGAAGATGGAAGTCACATATTTGAGGTTGTTAATGCTATCTATGCTGTATATGCAATGTTGTTGTGATTGTACATCCACTACATCTTTTTTCTTTTTGCTCCTGAATTGAAGACTATATTGCTTTCTTTATGTTTCATAGGCAATTGGCATTCTGATTGGGATGGACTCAGTGCCCCATGAGAAGCAAACTCATTATCTCAATTCATTACTCACACCCTTATGTCAGCAGGTTAAGAGTTTGTGGTCATGATGTCTAAATATATCATTTTTGCTGTTTATGTACTTTTTTGATGCATTGATTAAGTGCTAGATTTTATAAATACTATTTGACGTTTGTTTTGGAAATATTACGTGTGCAGGTGAAGACATTAATAGAAAATCCAGAAGATTCTGCAACAAATATTTTAATCATTCAGCAAATCGTTGTGGCTATAAATGCACTCAGCAAGGTTTGCCCCTTTGATGCATGCTACATTGCTACATGCATATGTTGTAATACTGATTACAGATTTTGAACTGGCTTTGTATTAGAGAAGATCATCAATTAAGTACTTAGTGCTGTGAATGTGCTTTTTTTAGTCTAAATTTTCTAGAGCTAAAGCTAGTGAATTTCGGCAGGGAATAGTATGCTCGAAAAGCCTAGTCTTTGCTAGTTGTAGGCTTGTAACTGTGTTTTTGTCTTGTACATAGATGTAATATGTGTAATTATATCTAATCTTTGAGCTTAAGTGTCGAATTGATTTGGCACTCTAGACTCCCCTGTATTTAGTGTTATTGATCTGATTACATCTTAATTTTTGCATGCAGGGTTTTAATGAACGTCTTGTAATTGCCAGCCGTCCAGACATTGGTTATATGTTCAAACAGGTTTAATATTTTTCATTACTGTTTACTAATTTTCTTTTTCAGTTTTTTGCATGTTTTACACTATGATATGAATATAGATTTATGTGTTGGAGTATGTGAAGTTATAATTCAGAGAGTGCTAAAAAATAACAGCCACACTTGATATTGACATATTTTTGTTTACTTAATGCTTCTTTAATAAACCTCCACTGGTAACTGTCTGTTCAGTCCATGTTAAAGGATTTTGAAATTTCTCAACACATCTTTGTATCTGACTCTTGGCTCCTTGATCTGTAATCGAATCTCTGTGATATTGACTGGCTGTGATGTCTCTAAAAGAAATTTTAATGCCTCTTTCTTTTAACCATTGTAGTCTATGTTCCCTACTTCCCTGTCTTTTCCTTAAATGCCTGGATCATGCTTTATGCTGTTGACACCCGTTTTCTCCAAGACAAATGCTTTGGTTTTAAAAATACTTTCCCTTTGAGTGTTCGCTTTGTCCAGTTATGTAACTTTATTTTTATTTTTATTGTGGTACAGACATTAGATATACTACTCCAAATCCTTGTTGTCTATCCAAAAGTGGAGTCCTTGCGCAGTAAGGTATGTAGTATATGTCATATTATTCTGTCAAGGTGTTATTTAAATGTTCTTTGCTAAATCTTGCCTTTTTTTTTCTTAGGTAACATCATTTATCCATCGCATGGTTGAAACTTTGGGCGTGTCTGTATTTCCTTACTTGCCAAAGGCATTGGAGCAGCTGCTTGCAGAGATTGAGGTAAACGTGTGAATTAATACTCTCTTTAGCTTCCTTAAGCTGTACTGAGATGGCTCCCATTCTTCAAGCTTGAGGTTTGTATAATGATATGGATTGCTCTAGAATAGTACTGTTTTTTCTGGATTGAGTATGATCAGGTTATCGTTTGCTAATGAACATGCTTGATGCTTCTCTGTTCTTTGCATTCTTACCCTTTTATTTTTCAATCCTGATTTTCCCGTTGCTCATAATTTCGATATAGAGAATGATTTTAATTTGCATTTTCTGTAGTGCACTTAATTATATGATTACAATACCTTTTCTAACTTAGGCTACTAGAAGAAAATAATCGATGCATCAAACATTAATGCAAGAATTCATAGTTGAATAAGGATGTCGGCCACTTTGTTGAGATGGGGATGATGATGAAACAAAAGGTTTTGTTGCCACTCGCACATTAACCAGTTAGAAGTATTTGGTCGTGCAGCAATTTCATAATTTATGTATAAATTGCTTGTCTGGCTTCCTTCAAGAGTTGGAGATGGCTCTTGCGGTGGAAAGCGGAAGGGCATTCTCTCTGCCTTTCAATGTTACCTTTTAAAAAATAAAATAAAAAATATTGTTTTTTTTGGTTGTATTAGTTTACTGTGCACTGCTTTGAGTAAGGTAGCAAAAGGAATAAAGGACTGAAAGATCCATTGTGTATTTGTATGACATTTTATGCATTTGTATAGCAGCCATTAAGTTTCCTTTGATCATTTGACTAACTTTACTACGTTTTTGTTGCAGCCAAAGGAGCTGGCTGGAGTAATTGTGTTACTGAATCAACTTATATGCAAATTCAACACCAAGGTTCTTGACATTGTGGATGAAGTATTTCCAACTATTGTTGCGAGGGTATTTTCTGTTATTCCGTTGGATGAAATTCCTTGTGGACCAGGTAGCATTACAGAGGTATGTTCACAATGATGTGGTCCTTTTAAATCTCACCCCATAGTCATGGTAAAAAGTGATTCTTAAATTACTATAATGGCTGAGGATGGCAAACTGGGTTTGTAATTTTGTATACAGAATGATTGTTACCATATCAAGTTGCTTACTGCTATGAATTGCATGCAATATTGTGTTATTAATTTTTGCTCTACAACCCAATAAAGAATGCTTTGAAGACTAAATTTATATCCTTGTATAATTTACTTCTTTTTATTGCAGGATGTTCGTGAAAAGCAGGAACTTCAGAGAACATTATTCACATTTTTCAATGTCATAGCCACACATGAATTGTCTTCAGTTTTCATCTCTCCTAATGCCAGAGAGTATTTAAATTTAATAATGCCGCTGCTATTGCATTCCTCTTGTAAACATAAGGATATTACTGTGAGAAAGGTGTGTTCTTCTCTCCACTCTAGTTCAACTGGTTTTTCTTACTGATTGCACTTGACTGGCTGTGTGGTAAGTTAGTATGATCTAAACCAAGCTTCTGCCAATTAGGCATGTGTGCAGATATTTATCCAATTAATCAAAGACTGGTGCACTGGTTCATATGGAGACGAGAAGGTTTGTTTTTAAATTTCCCCTATGTAATGCTATCTTATTAAAGATCTTTATTAAGCTGCTGCCTTTCAGGTACATGGCTTTCAGAATTTTATAGTGGAAACCTTTGCAGTAGAATGCTGCCTCAACAGCGTGTTGGATAAGTCTTTTGAGTTTCGAGATGCAAATTCTGTGAGTTGATATACTATGGTCTATTTACTGCTTTTGTTATGCACACTATTTCTTACCAAATATCTGATTGCTTCATATTTCTTTTTTTTTTGTTCTATCAACGGTTCATTCTCATATTATGATGACGCTTAGTGGGTTATTTGCTTTGTTTGGCTACTTCCCTCCAACTTTATTGTCGTTGACTCAATGTAGTAAATTTAGCATTTTACTAGACAATTTCTACCCATTTTGTTCTGAGCTCGATGATCTCAGCTTTTGTGTCTGGATGCTTTGTTGTATTTTCCACTGTCATTGTGTTTTTTTGGAATCCTTGTGCATGCGGTATGCAATGCTTGAATTTGTTCACACTTTGTTTAATTTTAGGTATTTTGGTATTTTGTTGATTCCCTTGTGCTGCAACATTTTTTGCAATTTGCAGTCTTCCTTATTTTTAATATCTATGTGATATAACTCTGGTTTTCTGTTATTCAGTTGGTTTCTCACGAGTTATGACCCTTTTTTTAAAGGAAAAATTGAAAAGAACAGTCCCAACTTTTGTAAATCCGCTATGAACAGTCCCAACTCCCACTTTTCTATTATCTATAAACAGGTCAAACTATTGTACTACCTCCGTTACAGGTTATGTGCAACGATTAGACATTTTCCCTCTCTGATTTATGTCAAATCGTTGCACATAACTTGTAACGGAGGTAGTATAAATTTTATATGAATGGTCCATGAGTAAGGGTAAGCTGCTATAGCAGGTAAATAATTGTCACGTGATTTCCACATGATTTTTAATGACTTCATTTTTATTTTATTAATTTCATACCTTTTAATTTCTATGGTTACTTTGTTTTCTCACATTTGTATTACGTACTACTTTAGTTGTGTCATATATTATGTTTGCTATTGTTATATTGATAGTCTTTTGGTACGTAGTTAGTGGGAGGATTGATTACATAGTTGTACGTATTAATTAGATTGTGATGAATTATGATTATAGATTGCAACAGAATGTGAGGGTAAATATTTGGATATGTATTACCCTGATTACTGATTTTTTCACCTAATCAAATGATCAGACATTTTGTGTTTCCAATTGAATATGCCATAAAATGTTGAAAACCATCAAAGTAAAATACATCTATCCGAAACAAAATTATATTACTTGACATTGTTCAAAAGAGCATGCCAAAAAGATTACCATTAAAAAAGAAAAAAATTCAGTACTAAATATATCATTTGTCATGACATCAACTCCATAATTAATCACATGATGTCGAAGCTTGACTGTTTGCAGGGTACATAGCCAGTTTAATATAATGAGGATTGTGTGAGCTCTCCCTGATCATCTCTTTGTCGATCTCTTTATCCAGAATTCTGCCAAAAATAATTATAAATATTATATACTTATATAAATAAATTAACGTGAGCAATAATTAAATATGAAAGAACTACTCACATTTATTGTTGTTGTTCCATCCGCGGCAATAAAAAATCCTAATCCTCCGCGGCAACTGAACCATCTTTTTCAATTACACCAAGCCTACCAGCAGCTGCTTCTCTTTGCAATGTTTGAGCTAACTCAAACAACTCACTATTACAACCCCTAACCCTATCTCTAGCCACCTTTAATTCATCATCACTACTTTCAGCTTCATCTACAATTATTTCTTCCTCGGATCTTTCTTCTAACTCTTCTTCTATTTGCACATCTAATGTGTCTAGCTCCTTCTCCACTTCCTCATCAGATTCTGCAACTCCATAACCATCATCATAAGGCTCATACAATGGGTCAGAAGTTTGTTCCTCATCAGATTCACTGACTAGCTCATTAAGAGGTATAGGACTATCTGGTCTAGGGTCATACCACTTATAATATTCCTCATCTTGATTTTCTTGTGTAAGGGGGTTATTTGTGAAGTTGCTTCTGCTGGTGAGTTAACAATGCTGGTGTTATTGAGTTGGATAGATTTTGGTTGGGAGAAAAGGATTGAAGTGTTCTTGGTTTGACAAGATTTTGATTGGGAGGCAGTGGGGAAATCGTCAAGGTTAAGGTTATCTAAGATTACCAGTTGGGGTGGATTTTTTTTCCATGTGTGGGTCACTAGGTGGGAGCACTTTTTTCTAGTTGGAGTCAATTTTTCAGAATTTTTTATGTAAGGTTCTTTGGGGTTTTTTTAGTTGTGTTATTAACACCTGATGCATTTGAAGAAGGGAGGATAGGTATCATCTCTGGCTCATCCACTCCAAGTTGCACATTCAAGTCAATTTCCTTTTTGTCAGCATAAACCCTCCTCAACCCATCTTCAAAACTCATATTTGGTGCTGAATAAAAAAAATACATCAACTTTTTTATACCCACATTTCTGAACCAATTCTACAAGTTACCACCAACACAATTCATCAGGATCAACGGGAAACGTTCTCTCTTCTCCACCAACATATTTTAACAACCCAATTGCATTCTTTTTAAAAAACCCCATGCCAAAATCTGGGTGACACTAGTTCATCCATTAATAACCACAACCCAATTGCATATGTATACCTATTTCAAATTAGATGAATTACTCAATTATATAGTCATACAATTCAACTAAATTCACAAACCTAATTTATAATAATTATAAAATTGACACAAATATCACATGCTCATACGATTAATTAATTAACCATTCAATATGAACTTTAATTATGTTAACTCCTTTGTTGTGGGAGGCTTCATATACCGACAACAATTTGATACTAGCAAAATAATTTCAAGATTTACAACTTACCCTTGTTACCGAGGAAATCAATACCCAATTTCCGCTTCTTTGATGCGCAACATATACCTACCCACCAAGAAGAGATAATTTCTTTATATTTGGTTGTTTACTTAAGCACATAGGAATCCTTTAATGGTGTAAGTGTCACAACAAGGGAAGATAGAGAGAAGACTGTAATTTTACAGTGTTGGTAGTTGGGAAAGAGTAAATTAATACAAAAGTCAAAATAAGAAATGAAAAGGTAATGAAATTAATAAAATAAAAATGGAGTCACTAAATTATCATGTGGAAATCACGTGACAATTATTTACCTGCTATAGTAGGTTACTCTTACTCATGGACCATTTATATAAAATTGGTATAATAGTTTGACCCGTTAGGGATAATAGAAAAGTGGGACTGTTTATAGCGGAATGACAAAAGTTGGGACCGTTCTTTTCAAATTTTCCTTTTCAAACAGTGTCTCTGAAGTACTGGGTATCTTGGTATTCTGTTGATTTCCTTGTGCTGCAATATTTTTTGCGATTTTGCAGGGTTTTTTATTTATTTATTTATTTTTTAAGTATCACTGTATAACACTGGTTTCCTGCTATTCAGTTGTTTCTCATGAGCTATGACCCTATTTTAGACAGTGTCTGCTGAAATACTGAAGTGGGGAGTTTAGCCAGACATTTTATTATCATAATAGTAATCTCTTGTAGCCTGTTAGGCAATGCCAAACATGAGGTGATTGGGCAGTTATTTTTTTTGGGGGAGAGAGCGGTGCGTTGCTACATTGTTGTTTTTTTTAATCAAATTCCTTTGATTGGTGATGGGAGGGTGACAGGCTTGTTTGAGGTATGTGCTATATTATCAATTGCCTCACTTTTTAACCTGAATGATATGGAGGGAAGGAGAGGGGAGGGAAAATGGGGTCCATTCCTTCTGTTGATTGAGTATTATTGGGAAAGGGAAACATAAGGATTTGAAATTTTTAAGCAAAGATATTTTAGTAAATGCCAGTGCAACAGATACAACAGCCGAAAAGGCTGATGAGATACTGAGCATTGTAAACCAGTCACCTAAACGCTTCTTGCCAGAATCACCATTTTTTAAGTTCTGTAGTCTGTCTTTAGATATCCCCACCAGTCCATCACTACACCCATACTTGCAGTGACATGTATTTGTTCAAAATTGGTTCACTCAACTTACAGAATTGGCAATAGTTCTGAAGCTTGATGAACCCTAGTAGCAAATATCCAAGGTATGCAAATTGAAATCCAGCATTTGTGCTATTTCTTCCATATCCTTGTAGGCATTTTGTTATTGAAAGGACATATGCCTAAACTAAACATGGACCTTATAAGTTCCCTTCCAAATCTATCCGATTTTGGAATAAGTGGAAAGAATTTGCTCATCAAGGAAGAAAAATGTATTCCTTATAATCCTTTTCCTTGCCAAAACCTATTTTTATCCAATGGTAAATGGCCCCTTCCTCTCTTCCCATTTCTCTCAAATGCTTCTCCTTCCCTCTCATTCCCTGCCCCCCTTTCCTTCCTTAATTCGTTTCCAAACAAACTATGATATTATGGTCTCAGATAATTCACGATTCAGCTAGTAAGGTGGCAGCTTTATCCATATGGATGCTTCTGGAGAGTATGATTTGCTGAAAATTCAATGCTAATCAATCATCTTGATAACAGAGATTTGGGTTGGCTGTTTCAGGGCGGTGTAGGTTATACCATTCCAGCGGTCATCCCTGTTTCGAGGGGATCCTGTTAAATTTTGAATTCAGATATGGTCATATGAATAGGATTTTAAGTATCAACTCTAGAGAATCTTGCCAGTGTTCATCTCTGTTTCTAGGGATTCCTTGACTTAACCTGATATGATCACATGAATAGGATTGGGACAATTATAAGCATGTACTCCAGAGGTTTTCATGTGGTATATTACTTATATTTACCGTTTCAGTTATTAAAATTGTCGCATAGGCTTCTATTCTCCCTTGTTAAAGTTCTCACTCACTGTATACTTGGAATTAACCATAACTGTTTGGAGGTTAGCTGAAGTTTCCATCAGGTAATGAAATGGATGCCAATTATTTTAATTCCTTGAAGTCTCAGGAATGATACCCATGGGATCAATTCCCTGTCGACACCATTGCCCAATTGTCCTTTGTGTCTCTCTTTGCATCCTTAAAAAAAGTTTCCGTCTAGCAAGGAGAGAATGGAAAGTCTTGATACCAGCTTTTATTGAAGATGGAGAAAGCTGTACTTTGCTTGTACTTTACTATGAGATCCAACATTTGTGGGAAGGACAATAATATGTCATTAACTTTATGCCATTACTTTAGTGTTGAATAACAACTCGCTCAAGTTTAGAGGAGCATTGAAAAGCCGGCCCATTGTTCTGTGAAGCCTGAGGACTTTTAATGCTGCAAATTTATTCTCAAATCTTCCAGTTGTACATTTACGTGTGTGCGCTTTATTACAAGAGGATTTTAAGTGTCAATGCTATCTCCATTCATGATTTATTAATGTAATTAATTAAGTATTTCCATAGGTTTGTAAAGATTGATATGTTTTGTAAATGACCAAAAGAAAGCTTTCCATTGTTCCTCAACTGATCGTATTTTTACCTAGGATCTTTATTCCTGCTTTGTAACAGTACTTTCCTTTTTTTTATTTGCCAGCATGCATTGTTGGGCGAAATCATAACAGCCCAGAAGGTCATATATGAGAAGTTTGGTGATAACTTTCTTTCTGAGTTTTCCAAGGGTTTACAAGCTAAACACTGCTCCCAAGAAATGGCTGAGCAGTATTTTCAGAAATTGCAGGTTCGGATAAAAACTCTGCTACTATTACGTTTCCAAACCTTACAGCTTTTGTATATTGCATAGGCTTATGAACTTTGATGATATTTGAATTGGAACTTCTACTTAGTCAAGTAGGCTTTGTTTCTAATGGTTGTCCTAGACAACATTATTTTGCATTTTGGTTTCCATTGAGTTGGCAATTACTTTAATGTGTTATGCCTGTGTTGGTGACTTTAATTCACAGAGCAACGAATCCAAAGCTCTTAAATCATTCTACCAGTCCCTCATAGAGAACTTAAGACAGCATCAGAATGGAAGTCTTGTTTTCAGATAGCAATTTCGAAGGATGATATGACTATTGAAGTTTCTTATCTCATTTTATCCCAATTATAGCTCCTCCTTTTGTCCGTACAGGTAAATTGTTTTCCGAATCTGGTTATGTTTGGTCATTTTTTTTTGATTTATAGTTTGACAAATACTCCGTATCCTTTTACACCTCTTGATCTTTTTTTCATGTTGCAGGTTTTTGTGATTGTATATATTTATGGTATTTGTTCACTGGATCATGAGGTAAGTTGACATTCATTTTTGTCAAGCAAACAGCCAATTATCACTCTTGTAATGTATAAGTAACAGGTCTTAAAAAATTAGATTATGTGACTTAGTTTAGATATTTCTCTTGAACAGGTGTAAATTCCGGGAAGCAGTTTTGTTGTTTTAATATGGAAAGCGTGAAGCTCATTGTATGTGAAAGTGGCATTTTATTCTACTTACGCTTCTGAAGTTTCATCCCAAGCTGAATCAACCTATCATATAGCCATCAGTGTGAGTTAGCAAGAACTCGATTATTTGGTTAGCTAGGTTGGGTGTTTTGTTTATATGTCTACAATATGTTGTGCCATTTGGGCATTGAAAGAAAAAGGAATAGAAAAGTAATAATTTTTTTTTAAAAAAGGGCAAGCAATATATTTCAGCTTTAGTTCTTCTGGGCTATAGTAGGATCTGTATTCATCTGACGAGAATTTAAAGTGCAAATTAGCGTTATAGAAGGCATTCTTTGTATTTGTGGGATATGTGATCCCATAAAAAAATTTTGTTCATTACATTAGACTATTAATAGTAATGTAGTATAGTTGAATTAATCTTATGTTTAACCTTGCTCTATCTTTCATCTCTATCTTCATTTCCATTCTTATTGCATGGACCTTAGTTACACTACGCATATAAAGAGAATTCCTAATGCATAAATGTTGGAAGACATTTAATGAACCGAACCAAGTGACATTTTAACCTTTGCACAATGGATAGACGTATGAAAAAAAGTGAGGATTTTGATATATGACTTCTTATTTCTCACTGCTAGCCAATTAGCCTTGCATGTTATGCCCCTTGCCTTAGTTGCCTATAAGCTTCAGTCCAAGTATGGGTAACCCTCTCTTTGTGCCTAGGTTCTATAATGGATTGAACGAGGCGCTAGGTTCTTGTACCTAGCATGCTGTATTGCCTGTATAATAGGTGGCCATCTTGCCAAAGACGAAACATCATTGGCATTCTCTTCTTCACTCTGTTTTTCATCGCGTTTTTCTACCAGTTCATTATTTTCAATCTGGTAAGAGTGTTCCGTGCTTCCTTTATCGCTTCATTGAGCTTTCCTGTTTATTTGTCCCATTGTCTTTAGAAAATGTGTTGTTTGTTGTGTAGAGACTAGAGATTCAACGAATACATTCATAAAGCATAGAATGTTGAGGGTATTTGCCATTTATCAATGCGTGTTGACCTTCTTGCAGTTGCCTTAATTGATTCAATTTTTCTTAGGTTTAGATTGTACCTTGTTTTCTCTTTCTGGGAGATCGTTATATTCTCTTATAAAGTGGTGAGGACAAAAAAATGTCATCTTCCTTCGACTAGTGTTTTTACTGCTCCCTTCTGGAGTGATGATACGATTATGTCTAATTTTATAATTGTGATATGTTCATATACGAGTAATAATAATTATTATTATTATAGAATTTTACGCAATAACTTTTGAAGAATAGAATTCGTGAGTTTTAACTTTTAAGAGGTGTTAATATATTACATCTGTTTTATATTATTTAAAACAATTTGACATAAAGTGATTAAAAATGGCTTATTGTTGCAAATAATATACAACGGAGATAGTAATAGATATGGTGTTGCTTGTGCTAATTTCCTTTTTAAGAGTTGAGTTTGTAACTTTTTTTTTTTTTTTTTTTGACAACTTAAGTGTTATAAATGAGGTCATGACCTTTATGGCTTCTATATATGATAGAAATAAAAAAAGTGTTCTTATGATTGTTTTTATTAGGAAAATGCTATACAAAGCCTTTAGGGCTAAATATAAACATTAAATTTACACTTAAAAATCGTAAAAAGTTCAAAAATCATAAAAATATAACACTAATTACACTGATTTACGCATGTTTTTGTCATGAATTTCTAATTTTATACAATTTTCAAGAGTGTCTTTAATGTTTATATAGCCATTAGGGCTACATATATCATTGCCCTTATTTGTATAGCAAGATAGATTTGTCACTGTCTAAGTCTTTCCTCTACCTTCGCCATTGCACTACCTTGATACACATGTGGATCATACTCACATTATTTGTTAAAACATTGCTTTCAAAATCGCCCCTACAGGATCTATGGTCTAAGGATGCAATTTTTCTTCATCAGAAATCTATGGATCAAAATAGAAGATTTGCATTATGCATATACTAATCTCAAAGAATAATGGAGAAAAGTATGTGTTACACTTTTACGCATTTCAACAGAATGTCTTTTCAACTGTCATCAAAGCTTTCAATTTTGTGGTTGTAGTTGTGGTCGGCTTATATCTTTTCTAAGTATATCCATCTATCATCTATCATCTATCATCTATCATACTTGTTTTTGTCACCATCTTCGTGTTCAAGTGCATTTGATGAAGGGTTTGGTTAAAATTAGACATAGTCCACGATGACCAAGACTACCAAGTCATTCTAAACTGAGATCTAAGGATATTAGGTGAATTTTGCTTCCCTACCACATCTAACGTTGCTTAACATTATCTGACGTGCATTATGTACACGCTGATGCTAAATTATTTCCTTCGTTCTTTTTTAAATCACAAGTAGAGTTGTCAATTCGGATAAATGGATCGGGTTTGGGTCGGATAAGAATGGGTTGAGTCAACTCAGATCGGGTCAATTCGGATTAATTCCATATTATATGCGGGTCGGGTTAGGGTTGGGTAATGCTTGAGTCGGGTCACGTCGGGTCATACTTCTTATCGGGTTTGGGTCGGGTTTAGGTCGGTTTAATAACAGGTCGGGTTACATTGGGGTCGGGTGAACAATAGGTTGAGTTTAATTCAGGTATAAACGGGTTAGGGTAATTCTCGTGTTCGAGTCAGGTTCGGTTCAAGTCAATAATTTGCGGGTTAGAATCAGGTTAGTTTATTCTCGGGTTTGAGCCGGGTCCGGTTCAAGTCAATAATTTGCTGATTATAATCAGGTCGGGTCATTTTCAAGTTGGGTCATTCTCTGGTTCAAGTAGGGTTCGGTTCAAGTCAATAATTTGCGGGTTATAATTAGGTTGGGTAATTTCCAAATCGGGTCATTCTCAAATTCAAGTCGAGTTATGTTTAAGTCAATAATTTGCAGGTTACAATCAAGTCGGGTCATTTCCAAGTCAAGTCATATTCGGGTTCAACTAACTATAAATAGATAATTATCATTTTTATCAAGCTAATTATTTCCTTTGACTATAATATATATGACAATGTAATAGGGAACTATAGTCTATAATTTAGGAAGATAACTAACTCCTTTGACCATACAACAAATATATACTATATTTATCTCTTAAATTTGAGGATGATGCTCCTTCTTTTGCTGGCCTGGACCGACTTGGTCTCCCTAGACAAAATTCTTTGATCAACAATAACAAGGGGGTCTAAATTGAATTTAAGGTGATTTGAAATCGGGTCAGGAACAATTTGGGTTGAATTTAGGTTGGGCCAATAACAAGTCGTGTTAATTTCAAGTCAGGTTAGTAACAGATCAGGTTGAATTTTTAGATCAGGTAAGTAATAGGTCTGGTAAAATTTGGGTTGGGTCGGGTCGGGTCTATAACAAATAGGGTTGAATTTGGATCAGGTCTATAACAAGTCGAGTTGATTTCAGGTCGGGTTTGTAACACAGAGGGTTAAATTCGGGTCGAGTTAGGAACAGGTCGGGTTGAATTCAGGTTAGGTTAGTAACAAATCGGGTTAAATTCGGGTTTTGACGGGTTAAAACTGGTTTTGGTCAATTTCGGTTCAAGTCGGGCTCGGTGCAAGTTAATTAAATTGGCCGTTGTAAAACGGTAAATCGGTGCAAGTTGTAAACCGGTAAATTGGACATTTAAAAGCAAATTGGATGGTTCCACACACCTAATTGGACTTCCGGAGGGTATTAGGGATCATGGTAAATATTTCGGCAATTTTTATTTCCGGGCGAAAAAATTTAAAAAATTCCAAAATTGAAGGCTAATATCCACGCTTTTTGAGAAATTTTGGAGGTTTCGGGGCCGGTGTCGAAAAGTCTTGAAATTCTATGAGATACATCTCGAGGTCATATATATAATGCCATTTGGAACCATATATGATCATTATTTGTTGTCATAAATGTTCGTGATAGGCTTGAAATAATGAAATTGGTGCAAGTTGTAAACCGGTAAATTGGTCGTTTAAAGGAAACTTGGATGGTTCCACCCATCCAATTGGAATCCTGAAAGGAATTAGGGACCATGCAAAACATTTCGGCAATTTTTATTTCCGGGCGAAAAAAAGTCGAAAAATTCCAAAATTGAAGGCTAATATCCACGTTTTTTGAAAGATTTTGGAGGTTTCGGGGCCCAATTAGAAAAGTCTTGATATTTGAGGGAGTACATCTCGGGGTCATATAATGCCGTTTGGAATCATACATGATCATTATATGTTGTCATAAATGTTCGTAGGCTCGTAGCATGCTTGAGTTAATAAAAACTGTGCAAGTTGTAAACCGGTAAATTGGCCGTTAAATGCAAATTGGATGGTTCCACCAACCCAATTGGACTTCCGGAGTGTATTAGGGACCTGGTAAACCTTTCGGCAATTTTTATTTTCGAAAGAAAAAAAGTCAAAAACATTCCAAAATTGAAGGCTAATATTCACGCTTTTTGAGAAATTTTGGAGGTTTCGGGCCCGGTGTCGAAAAGTCTTGAAATTCTTGGGGTTACATCTCGGGGTCATATAATTCCGTTTGCAACCATACATGATCATTATTTGTTGTCATATATGTTTGTGGTTGGCTTGAGTTAATGAAATCGGTGCAAGTTGTAAACCGATAAATTTGCAGTTTAAAGGCAAATTGGATGGTTCCACCAACCTTATTGGACTATCGGAGGGTATTAGGGACCATGGTAAACATTTTGGCAATTTTTGTTTTCTAGCCGAAAAAAAGTCAAAATTTTCCAAAATTGAAGGCTATATCTACGCTTTTTGAGAAATTTTTGAGGTTTCGGGACCTGGTGTCGAAAAGTTTTGAAATTCTATGGGATACATCTCGGGGTCATATAATACCGTTTAGAACCATATATGATCATTATTTTTTGTCATAAATGTTCTTGGTAGGCTTGTATTAATGAAATTGGTGCAAGTTGTAAACCGGTAAATTGGTCGTTTAAAGGCAAATTGGATGGTTCCTCCCACCCAATTGGACTCTCGAAAGGTATTACAGACCGTGCTAAACATTTCGGCAATTTTTATTTCCGGGCGAAAAAAAGTCAAAAAATTCTAAAATTGAAGGCTAATATCCACGTTTTTTGATAGATTTTGTAGGTTTTGGGGCCTAGTTAGAAAAGTCTTGATATTTGACGGAATACATCTCGGGGTCATATAATGCCCTTTGGAACCATACATGATCATTATATGTTGTCATAAATGTTCGTAGCATGCTTGAGTTAATAAAAACCGTGCAAATTGTAAACTGATAAATTGGCCGTTTAAAGGCAAATTGGATGGTTCCACCAACCCAATTCGACTCCCGGAGGATATTAGGGACCATGGTAAATATTTCGGAAATTTTTATTTTTGGGCGAAAAAAGTCTATAAAATTCCAAAAT